ACAAACTCCGTATTTCAGAGATTTATATGGTGATGACATGACTGGATTCCACTCCTACCATGAGATTTCACAACAGCAGTGTCACATGTAATAAGTCAAATTTTTTCCACTATAAATTATATCTTATGGTATTACGGCTGAAAACCACAGTATAAAATTGCTCAAGCTGACACTGCAAAAATATGCTTCAACTTGCCTTTGGAATTCAAAGTCTTAAATTGCATTGTTCTTGGCAAAAATTGTGGAATTTTCTTTAAGTCTGTTTTTTATTAAATCTACTGATTGATGTCTGAACACAAAAAGATAACATTATCCCCCAAAGTAGGTGGTATTTTCTCAAGTGAGGAATAATACTAATTACTTTAAAGGATTACTGACAAATGTTATTGTGATCATTCAAATTCAAAAGAGACTAATACCACATGTTTTAAGGGCTGTGTAAATTTTAGAGCAATATTTTCTTTTCTTACTCAAACTATACTACAGCATGATGTATTGTCTTAACAGTAGAAAGTCTAAGCCTAGCATTAAGCTGATTCATCAATCAGTGGAATATTTTCTTTTCTTGAAGTTCTATGGCAGGTCAAGAAAGTAATTCATATTTAACTGTATAACTAGCTTGCCATATAGAAAAACCAGGAGAAACATTTATAACTTTTCTTTCATTTGGGTAACAATGGAAATTTCTCTACAGCTATTCATTCCTTCATTTGTTGAATTCTGTTCATGTCTGAATATGAGATACTGTACTGTCTCTTTGAGCACAGCACTTGAGATCAGAAGCTTCATACATTCTCATATTTAATTCTATGGCCTTGAACAAAGACATTAATGTTTTTTCTTTCCTCTTCCATCTGTAGAATGTGGCTATTCATACTTAAGTGCCTCTTGTATTAATTGTAGTTATTAATAGTTGTATTGATTAATAGTTAATGAATTAAAAGTATTTTTGTGGACAAAAATATTCTGAACAGTGCAGAGAGGAAACTGAAATTTCAATTATATTAAAAAATGTGAATTGAAAATATACTAATGTTCCAAACCCAAAGAATTTTGAAATTGCCTGAAAAACACAGAAGTCACACTCAATTTTGTTTCAAGAAAACATTTTCCGTTATATCTTATAATGCAATAATGAAGTGAATTGCAAAACAAAAAGTTACTTCCACATAGAAAAAAAATTCGGTATCAGTATTTTTTAAAATGAGTATCTGCTTGTCAAAAATATTGATCAACCCTAGTTTCATATGTTATAATTAATCTTATATTAGTGGATCACTTTAAAGATGACAAAAATGATTTCACTATTAATCTATCAAGAGTTAAGTGATGGGACAGTCCCAAAATTACCCAAAGCCAAAAGGGCCTCAACACCCTATACACACAGCTTTTTACTTCTTCAGCTCCAGGTCCTGTGTCCCTTGCAAATCAATTCATCTCCTTCACAGTAATTATGGCATTCTTAAAAACAAATTGACTTGTCAAGTTCATTCCTCCATAACATCCTCAGTGTCTTCAGTGATGTTTCTTTTAACAGAGAATGACAGCAGGGAGAAAAAACAGTGAGCTTCCACCTGCACCAGTCTCCCTTCACTATAGGGACTGCAACAAAGCCAAGATTCTATTTCCTCCTCTTTAAAATCATATATGAAAAACATTGAAACAGGAAAATAGCAATTCATATTCTTCATCTCATTTTATCACTGTTGACACTGGGTATCATTTAATCTCTGGCAATTTTTTAAGAGTATTCACATTAGGACTGAAAAAAAAAAAAAAAAAAAAAAAATTCCCTGCAGCAGCCATGGCCACCTATTAACTCCAGTCTCATGGCTCCAAGGGTAATCTCTTCAGCAAAATCAAAGTGACACACAGATAACAATCCAGTTTGGCTACTTATAACCTCAGCAGCGCAGCCTCACAGCTGACTTAATCCAACTGTGAAGTAATATGGTGTGTAATCCAGGGTGAGAGACAGGTAAAATTTAAACCAGCAAGTTTGAAAGAGAGAGAGTTGACCCACAAGGGAATCATAGCATCATAGAATCATTAAAGTTGGAAAAGACCTCCTAAGATCATCGAGTCCAACCATTAACCCAACACCACCATGCCCACTAAACCATGTCCCTAAGCGCCTCATCTACACGTCTTTTAAATACTTCCAGGGATGGTGACTCCACCACTTCCCTGGGCAGCCTGTTCCAAGGCCTGACCACTCTTTCAGTAAAGAAGTTTTTCCTAATGTCCAGTCTAAACCTTCCTTGGCGCAACTTGAGGCCATTTCCTCTCGTCCTATCGCTTGTTACTTGGGAGAAGAGACCAACCCCCACCTCGCTACAACCTCCTTTCAGG